GCGACACCACCGCGGCGAACGACACCACGAGGAACGGGCTTACACGCGACCGAAGCTTACCATGCCCACGTTCACGGGAGTCGATCTGGATGCATGGTTGAGTCAGGCTGTACAATTTTTTGAGATCAACGATGTGCCAAGGTATGAAAGAGTTCAAATTGTTGTTTATCATCTTGATGGAGAGGCGAAATTTTGGTGGCAATGGATCTTGCACAAGAATAATGGCGAGCATATGCGTTGGAGGGATTTTGATGGAGAGCTCATCACGAGGTTTGGATCTAGTGATTACTATGATTATGATGAAGCTTTGTTGAGGATACGTCAAGTTGGTAGTCTTCGTGATTATCAAAAGGAGTTCGAGCGGGTTGCTAGTAGAGTCTGGGATTGGCCCGAGAGTGCATTAGTGGGAGCTATTGTTGGAGGGCTGAAAGCTGAATTGGCGGCTGAAGTGCGACTGGATAGGCCGAGGTCAACACGAGTGGTAATGGAGTCGGCTAGGTTGTATGAGGACCACCTCACGGCAGTGCGCAAGGCAAGGCCGAGCGACACGCACACGGAGCCAAGGCGCGCGCACACCGCGATCGAGGAGGCACCCCCACGGGCCGAGATCAAGCCGATGGCTGAAGGTGTTTACACCACGAGCAATATGCGGCGGCTAATGGATGACGAGATTCAACGGTGAAAAGTGAAAGGATTGTGCTTTACATGCAACGAGCGATTCACGTCGGGCCATAAATGCAAAGGTAAAGAAATATTTTTGCTTGAGTTTGAGGAGGAACATGATAGCGAACCAGTTGAGGAGACCTTGCTACATGTGGTCAAATGCAAGAAACGAGGTCCAAAGATGATCACGTTTACAGCTGAGATTCGAGGCAAATTGGTGGAGGCATTGGTAGATAGCGGGTCTATGCTAAAATTTCATTGATAAGGAGCTGTCCAAGGAGATAGAGATGCCATTCACAAAAGTGAAACCTTTCGTAGTCAAAGTGGCCAACGGAGAGACACTTCGAGGGGATCTACATTTCAAAGGAGTAAAGATGGAAGCTCAAGATTAGAAAATGAAAGTTGATCTATATACATTGCCATTGAAGGCGACTGATGTGGTACTTGGATGTCAGTGGTTGGAGACGCTTTGTCCAATCACAACTGATAATTAAAAAGGAACTATGGAGTTTGGGCGATCGAGCAAGCGAATCAAATTGATGACCGATGATCCAGGTGAGTCACCCGATGAAGATGAAGATGATAGACGAGTCCGTAAGCTTAACTTCAACATCCTTCGGGACAAGGATAGACTCGAAGAGGACGGGAATGATACGGAAGTGGTTATTAACCCTGACAAGTTCGAGGAAGAGACTAGCGATGATCTTGATGTTTGGCTAGAGAACATGCTCGAGGAGTCACATGGAGAGGATTATCAGCCTTCTTGTAGGCGAGATTGGCCAAAAGGATATGGCGATAGGTCAAGGACAAGGTTAAGGAGGCGCAAGGCCAAGCGAGCTAAGAGGCAACGCAAGTCAAGGACTAATGCGAGTAGTAATTGGTGCGGGCCTTGTGCGAGGAAGCGACGTGCTTGGCGAATGGAGGCTATGACAATGGGCGCGCGAGGGGTGGAAGATGGGTGGAAGATGCGCGCGGACGATTGTTGTGGCCCGATGCGCGCAATTGGGCGACAAGCGACGATGGTGCGCCTTGGGCGTGGGATGAACGTGGGCCAGTGATGGGTGCACAAGGGGTGCGCAGTAGGCGATTGGAGCACGGGCGTTGTCTGGGACGCGCGGTGATGATGGATCGTGTGTTTTGTTCCACTCACTTGCCTCGAACATAGCCTCGCCACGACTTGCTCTCGACAGATAGGTGTGATCGACTCGGTTATTAGCCTAACTCTCTCACGATACTTGAGTTCACTCGGTAATTAGCCTCGCTCCCTCAATTTTGAGCTAGCTTGGGTCTTAG